TGCTGTTAATCAACAAACAGAGAGACCTGTAATACCCTGCAAGAGAGGAAGAGACGTGAGAAGCCGGCCGGGCCGACCCCCGGGAGCTTCCTCCACCGTGGCGGGCGCGGACGCCAGCTCCCCCGCGGCCTGAAACGGGGGGGGGCCCACAGCCGGCCAGGAGTGCACTCGGGGCGCCCCTCTCCTGACCGCGAGGCCCCTCGCCCGGGGAGCGCCCACCCTTCGCACCGCCCCATTTCCTGGGGCCGGAGCCCCGCGTGCCCGCCCGCCCGTGGGGGTTCTGGGCCGGGAGTCCACGCTGGCGCTGCACGTCACGTTTCTCAACTCGTGAGTCTTGCAAGCGTCACTTCACAGTCTCCCCACACGGGCGCCGACACGCATCCCCAGGGGTCCCCCAACTGTGACAGAGCTGTGGTGGTGCCCGGCGGCCCCTCCCGCTCACGCCCTGGCTTCAGGCACAGGAGCCCGCCGGCCTCACGCCCTTCTCCGGCGCCAGGGCGCGAGACCCGCCTTCTACTCACCGTTCTGGACCACGTAGTGCAAAATCTGCTCAATGACCGACACCACACAGCTCGCGTCTTGTAAAGCAGGCAAGTAGGTGCTCTCGGACGAGAACACCTCAAGCATCCTCAGGGGCAGCGCGACATTCAAACTGTCGTCGTGACAGCTCTGCAGCAGCCTGCGGGCGAGAGCAGGCGACTGTCGCGGTCCCTGCTGCCGGCCCCCGGGGTCTCCCGTGCCCAGGGAGCACGGGCCGGGTTCCCAGAGCCAGAAAACACAGAGGGGGCGGGCGGGGGCGGGTCTGGGGCAGCACTGATGCTGTGTGAGCCGCGAGGCAAGGCCCCTTCGAGGGGCCGAGGCGGCCTCAAGGCCTGCAGGCGGTCCAGGCTCTGGCCCCTAGGCCGCAGCCCCTGCCCAGGCCCGGCGGGCCGCGGTCACGAAACCCGGGCTCCTCGGGAGACGGCCGCCCGGGAGGCCCCAGCTGGAGGCGCAGCCCCGTCACAGGCCCTCAGCAGGAGGCGACCGCGGGTTACTGGGCCCCGCCCCGGCCAGCCCCTCCCGACACTCTGGGCTGGTCAGCGCCTCGGAGCCAGGCCCTGCACGTGGCGCCGTTCTGAAACCCGCCAGCAGGCCAAGCAACAGCCCCTGCACCCCCAATCGCCACACAGACGTGCCACGCCGTGGTCACCGCCCACGACTGTCCTGTTGGAGCCATGGTCAGGAGGTGCCAGGGCCAGCTGGTCCTGAGGAGGCACCGCCGAGGCACCGGAGCCTCCCGCCGGCTCTGCAAGGGCCGGTCACGTGGCCTGCGGCCGTGGGTAAGACCGAAGCTACCTGCCTGCCCCTCCGGTCACCCCAATCCCATCTCCCTGGGGCCGGCCCACCCAGCTGCACCGAGCCTCCGCCCCAGGGAGGCGGGCACCCCGGGGCCCTCGCG